CAGGCAGCAAGTCAGCTGTGGCCCAAGAGGGTCCCTGTGTGTCAAGGGGAGGGAGCTTTCTGTTTTTGAGACTTAGGTTAACAGAATTCCGATTTCCCATCTTTACTTTGTGAGTGGACTGATTCTTTTAAAAGTTCTTTAAAGTGTTACTTTGGCATCAGATACACAGGAGAAAACCAGCCTGAGATGATGGTGGGCACAAGCTCCATGAGACCATCCAAGCCTGGTGTCCAAGGTTCTGACCCTGTGCTCTCACACCATCCTCAGCAGTAGGGACTCAGATGCCCAACAAGAGCCACACTCCTCTGAGGACCACCGTGTGGGGACATCCACCCCCCAACTCCAGACTATGGGCCAGCCAAAGCATTGGTGGTTCCTAACAACTTGAGTTCAGTGAGCATGTGTGGTAAGCATGGTGAAAGTTGCTTTTCTCATTGCTGCTAAGAATTTCCCAGCTTTCAACATATACTCTCTTTCTTGGTTGAATGGAACTTCCAAAGCTGACCACTGGTTAATCATGCTGAACAAGAAACCCACAATGCCCAAATGTCCAGAATGTGTGTGTGTGTGTGTGTGTACCTGTGCACATGGTGAGCTCCCCAGATGTTTCCCCATGTGTTTCTGCCTTTTTACAAATCTCCAGTCCCCCTCTCGGCTCATCCCCATGTTTACAGGAGCAGGCAACATGGCCCAAGGTGGTTTCAAGGGGTGGACAACAGATATTAAGAGAAAGCAAACAATGCCATAGACATTTCCATGGTCCATCTGGGGAAATCTGCATACTCCATGCTACTCCTGGGTGGTCACAATGTTCATTAGTTTAATAAAGGCTCTAATAGGTTCTACATTTCTCTCTCTTTTAAAATTTATTTTTGGCCCTCCTGGGTCTTCATTGCTGCACAGGCTTTTCTCTAGTTGTGGCAAGCGGGGGCTACTATGTAGTTGTGGTGTGTGGGCTTCTCATTGCAGTGGCTTCCCTTGTTGTGGAGCTCAGGCTCTAGGGCAGGAGGGCTTCAATAGTTGGATCTCGTGGGCTCAGGAGTTGTGGCTCCTGGGTTCTAGAGCACAGGCTCAATAGCTGCGGTGCATGGCTTAGCTGTCCGATGGCATCTTCTGGCGGCATCTTCCGGGGGGATCTTCTGGGATTAGGGATCAACTCTGTGTCTGCTGCATTGTCAGGTGGATTTTCTACCACTCAGTCCACTAGGTAAGACCTACACGTCTCTTTTTAACTTCAAAAAGATTTGATCAGAGAAGCACTCCATTTTTAAGGAATATCTCACCTGGTCTGCCATCCTGGGAACACACTTTGGGGAAATGGAAAAAAGAGAGGAGATAAGCAAGTGTTTGCATTCCTCTCTGAACTCTGGACCAGAATTCAGCGTGGAGAAAGCGCCCCGGGCTAAGCGTTGCCCTGGCGGCAGGACGCCAAGCGCCCAGGGTGGGTACCAGGCACTGTCCCTGCGCGGAGGGGGAGGGCGTTTCCGGCACTGTACTGACTGCGCTCCGCTGGAAAGTCTAGGCTGGTGGCCACTTAGAAGAGTCTTAAGAGCATCAGTTTTGTTTTGGGCTTGAAGCACTGTACAAGTCCACCTTTTAATAGTCACAAGTCCTCGGGTGACACAGCACGGGGTGTGTGTCATCCGAGGAGGAAGCATGCTCTCCTCCCCCAGCCCCGGGCCATGGCATTTCCTCTCTTCGGTGTGTTTTTCTTGCCACCAGAACAACTAAGCCTGGGCCACCATTTGCACAATTCCCCGGATCCTGCTACTTTGCTGCGGAGAACCCACGTGAACCGCGGGCGTCACCCGGGATTGTGCAAAGCAGTGGCGCCGTCCAAGCGCCTGCCTGCCGCAGGGTTTTGCCAGGACACTCCTATTTCTTAAGTCCTGCCTCAATGTGACCTCTCGTTTGAGCAGGCCCGTTATTTTCTGTTATGATACCCTATTTGTATCCTTTATAAATGATGACTCATTTATTGACACACAAGCCCCTACATACTTTTTTGAATATTGTCTTTCTCCTCAAACGAAATATCAACCACACAAGGAGAAAGCAGAGCTCAGTCTCTGTTGAGCAGAGATTGTTATGGCCACTGTTGGATCCTTGGTGCCTTGGACAGAGCCTGGCACAATGTCGCACACCTAGCGTCTGTGGAATGAATAAAGAACGAACAACTTCGCAAGTTCTTCCCCACTTGAGTACTGATTGGTTGTGGAGAGTTGATGGACAAGGTCACTAACCAACCAGTGGCTGAGTGGTGGTGAAAGGGACGGACTTCTAGCCTGAGTCAGCCGTGGTCCCTGGGTCGGTGAGATAGCACAGAAGTAGAGAGAGCAATAGAAATGAGTTTTTATTTGTAAAAAGTTACAAAATAATATTGTACAAAAATAAAGTCTGTAGAGAACTTTGGTTGTATAACACAAACGACTGAGACAGATCAGAGAAGTCAGAACTTCCAAAGAAGTGCACTCCTTACTGGATCAGATGGTAATCGCAACAATAAAGAAAAATCACAAACTTTACCCTTTTGTGGCTTTGGTGGAGCAAGTTGCTTCAGTGAAAACCTGCTTATGGTGTGTAGGCGATGCTGGGAAGGAGCTGTCAGCATCCGTTGAATCCTACCACCCCTGTGGGCAGAGACTCCACAGGGAGCTGGGGCCGAGGCTGACCCCTGGGGACGCCGGCCACCAGACCTGCCAGGACTCTCTGAATTGGACAGATGATCTGGGACTGCATCAAATTGCACTTCATGAACGACTGGTCGCCTCGACCTGTCCCTATTTTGAGCAGGCCACTCCTCAGCAAGTTCCCCTGCTTGGGCCCCAAGAGAGGGTGAGAGGCAGGCCCTTTTCCTCTATTTCCGAGTCCTACAAGGGGAGCAGAAAGGACAGAGGGGGCAGAGTGATGGGCAGCTTGGGTCCTTGGGGGTGGGGGTGGCAGAGGGATGTCTGGTAACTGCTGCTTCTTGGATTACTTTGTAAAATTAATATGATTATTTGAGGGAGGCCAGTAGGCTATTTATTTGCCAAATCTGTACTACTTTGGAGCTAATAGCCACTAAGGCAGTGATGTAGTGATAGATAATCTCTTTGATAAAAATCCCTTTTATGAGATAGGTCACAAGCTCTTAAAATAGGGCCCAGTTCATTGAGCAAGTGGGCAGTGACCAGACAATCCATGACCTGCTTGCTGAGATAGTTTTTCTCACCCTATGTCCTTGCCCTGTCAAAGGCTTTCAGCATCCACGCAGTGGGGCAGGTGTGCCGAGGCTGGGCCAGGGCCTGTCTTCCACGTCCACCCTTCCCGGCCACCTTCTTCTGAGGAGGAGTCAGGTGTATGGGGGCAGCCCCTGGTGGCTTGTATGGCAACCAGGCTGACCCCACTTCCAGAAGGCCCGCAGCGCTCCTTGACTGTGCTGGGCCTAGATGTGTTTCTCAAGAAGGCGGTGGATGGATGGAAGGATAGGGGAAGTGTCTCCACTATCAGGGCAGAACCCCGGCTACCTGACAGAACTGTCACACTGAGGTCAACAGTGAGTCCAGCACCACCTATTAAAGGGACTTTAACCTTTGACATATATGGTTATGCATATCACAGATACATACATGTGGAGGGGAGGGTGAGAGCTTAAACACCGCAGGAAATGGAGCACACGGTCTGTCTGCTGGGACAGGGAACTGTGTAGAAATGAGGGCAAATGCCATGGTCTCCATGTGCTGCTCCTGAAAAGGAAGGTCCATCAGAAATGTTCCTTCTGACATGTTCCTTCTCTAAACTATAAAAACAGGTAAGATGCTGAGACCCAGTGGGGAGATGGGGGGTGGAATCACATAAGGGCTTTTCTTAAAAAGGTAAAGTAAGTGATTTTTGCCTAGCGAAAATCTTTTTAATACTTTGAAAAGCATGGACCCTTGATCCCAATTAAAATTTCCTTTGCCAGCTTCCTTTGCATTTTGCGAGCACATATACTTTGGCACCTTTGAAAAGAAACTTTAATAAATAAGAGAAAAAAGAGAAACTCATTAGTGAACGGTAATAAATAACAATAACTTAAATCTCAATAAATATCTTCTCTATATTTCTGTATCTGAAACAGATGCATTGCATCGAGTAGCTTCTCTGGTCACTGGTGACCATGCATAATGGAGCTGGGGTGTATGTAACATCTGTCTCTCTGTAAACCTACAGCCCAGCGGCCTCCCCGCCCCGGTGCAGCTGGGGGCCTTCCCGCACGCTCTCCTGCAAGAATGCTGCCGAAAAACCACACTGGTTTCCTGTTTCCAAGGGCAGAAAGGAAATACCTTCAGGTTTGGTTTTAGTTATGAGGACAGCCTTTTTGGTTCCTAGCCAACTTCTTCCCACCCCACACACCATGTTTGAAATCAATCACCCACCGTTCCCCAAAATGCTGGTTGGAGTAAACCTCAGGCCTGAACCTTTAAAGCAAAGGTTACTATCTCTCCTGGGTCTTTGATTTTTTTTTTTCCCCCTCCTTTCCGGGGTATGTCTCCACTGAGTGACAGAAAAATAAACCTTTCTTGCTTTCAGCAGTAAAACGTAGTGACAAGGAATGACACCAGGAGGACCGTTTCCCTGGTGTCTCTAGACATGTGAAAGCAAACCACAGGAGATACACTGGTTTGGTTTCAAGTGCATCCGCGACTGCGCCCGTGACCCGTGGCGGTGGACTGTATCAGATGAAACGATGGCAACACCCAACCAGGGACACCAGCCCTGAGCTTCCGGTGACGTCAGCGGCCATCCGGAAGACGCGGACGGCTGTTTTTTTTTTCTCTCTCCTGTCCAGTTTTCTGCAGCTGGATCTCCCTCCACCAGGCTCCCACAACGGCTGCCTTCCTCCTCCTCCGCCTCCACTTCCTCCTCCTCCGTCTCCTTGGTCCTCATCTTCCACTCTGGGCAAACATTTTCTGGGAACCTTGGTCCCTTTCTTTGCATTGTAGCAGGAATGCAATACACAGCGGTCTCTGGAGCCGGAGTCAGATACATCCACACCTTTTAGCGGAATGCTTTCTTAGAATATGGTAAACCAGGTTATCATCTAAAAAGGACAGGTCGTCATCAAAGGCGATGGGTCTGCAACACGCCTGCCCGACTTTGTCACTCACCAGCCTTCTACTTTTGGATAAGTTTTTTAATATTTTGTCGTACATTGTTTCGGCTGCATCGCAAGAGCCGCTGCAGTACCTGAAAATGAGTTCCTCCTTGGTTTCGTAGCCCAAACCCAAGTCAGTGACGTTTAGATGCACGGCGGTGAGCACGCAGCCCCGATTTCGGCCCCTCTGGCCGCGCCGGCCTTTCCCTCTGGCATTCTCCGGGCTGGCGGCTGCCGCCTGCCGGTGCCGCTCTCTCCGAGGAAGCACGGCCATTTGTTTATCTGGTGACCTCTTCAGTCTTCTAATGGTAGCTTGAATAAAATCCATGACATCATCAAACTGATCAGGGTAGTCCTCTGGCATATTTGCTGTGCAACAGGAAAACAGAAATGGTCACATGAGACAAGCGCAATGACCATTTCAAGGAGTCTCTACGATCAGTCTGTCTGAAAGACGACCCAGTGTGCCCACCCCACAAACCCATGGCGAAACGACCCCTTCAGGGACCACTGTAAACCCCTAAAGACAAAGGCCAAAAGGCACCCCCCAAGATTCCCAGGAAGGAAGTTCATTCACTTGAAGGAGACACACTTCCTTGTGGAGAACAAATCCTTAGAAACGGAATTTCCTTTTGGATGATGTCTGCCATTTTTAACAAGTCGATGTTGAGATGCTGATGGAGGGTCATTTCTTGTTCTAATAACGGTAACCTGCAGTCGGGGTTCTCAATTGTGAGTGTGGGTCGGACTGTGCTGCGATACTCTGGGAAAATACAGAGACCTGGCCGACCCTCGAGGGAAGTGTGGGGAGGGGCCAAGGAGCCCTGGGGAGTTCTGAGGTAGGTGGTCCCTGGACCGTACTTTGAGAAACCTTGTCTTAGAAGGTGAAAGATGGATTAATCTTGGAAGACACTGCTGGTTTCATCTGGAATGTCAAGTGCGCCTCCCTGAACTCCATCCTGACTTAACACCTCTGCCCTGCTGGGTGGAACAAGAACCATTTGGATAGATCACATGGAAAAGTCCTGAATTCAACTATATTTTAAAACTTCCTTAAAAAACATAAAGAGACTGAAAAACAGCCCACTGTTCACTAATAAAGAGACTAATTTACCACTTCCTTGGATTAGCAGGACTTTAAAAATACAAGGTCAGACATAAGATGATGTCTACATGTATCACAGCAATACATGGAATGCGATGCTGTCTGTGGACAGGAGTGGTGGGGTCCTGCCTCTGCGGCAGGCTGTCATTACAACTCCCACTGGCTTTGGCTGCAAAGAGGACAACAGACGTGCACCTTAGGAAGATCACATGGAGCAATGACTGAGGTGATGCTTCTAGGATGCATTTTGGGCAAATGCATGAATTCAAGGTTTTTTTTTGGCATTTTCTGCTGTATTTCAACATTTGCTTCAGCTGATCAGGTAAGGGAAGAAAGACTATTTGAACAACTGAATACATTTCTAAAAGAGGAAAGTAATTCAGACGTCCATGTATTAGGTACTAGACCTTTTATGCTCCCCTCATCCCCTTTTCAGGGCTTCCTTGGTGGCTCAGATGGTAAAGAATCTGCCTGCAATGTGGGAGATGTGGGTTTGATCCCTGGATTGGGAAGATCCCTGAAGAAGGAAATGGCAACCTACTCCAGTATTCTTGCCTGGGACATTCCATGGATAGAGGAACCTGGTGGACTATAGTTCATGGGGTCAGAAAGAGTCGGACATGATCCCATTTTCAGGTAATTAGGATGTTTATGGTTATACATTGCTTAGAAAAATATACCACAAAATTGAGTTGTTAGCAAGAGTGAACTTTTTTTTTGCCAAGACCATGGTAAAGCAGAGGATTACATTGTGCCTAACCCATGTCAAATTGTTTTGTTACAAACGAATTGCTAGAACAGGTATCAGGTATCCTAGTGTGTAAAACATAATCCAACTAAGGCAACTTAACCATATCGATTCCTCTTTCTTATCTGTCTATACAGATAGATAATATATAATATTATTTATATTAGGGCAAAATACAGGACATATAGTAATGGAAAGAGTGGGGATGGTATGGAATTTCCAGGTCACCTTGTTGTCCTAAATCTAAAATCTAAAATCTGACACTGGGTGGTTCTGTGCATAGAAGTCTCGAAGCTGCATCCATTGGTGTGTGGCCAGTCGCCTCTTGTCTGGATAATCACACCAGACGTGAGCCCCCGCATTCCAGCCTTACCCTCCTTCAGTCTATTTTGCACCTGGCAGCCAGGGCGACGCTCTTGAAACTGTGAATGCAGCTCATGTCCCTCCTCTGCTCTAGCCCTCCAGTGGCTCCCCACTTCTCTTAGAGTAAAAGCCAAAGTCCACACTGGCCTGAGGCCCTCCCTGATGGGGCCACCCTCTCCGTCCCAGCCTTCGTTACTGATGACCTCGTGTGCGACTCCCTCCTCCTTACTGCCTCCCCTCCAGCTCCTCCGGCCTCCTCCCTGTTCTTCAAATACAGGGTTTCTCAACCTCAGCGCTACTGACACTGGGGCTGGCACATCCTTTGTTGTGGGAGCGTTTGAGGATGTTTAGTTACACCCCTGACCTCTACCCAGGAGATGCCCATACTAGCCTCCACCCCCATCCCAATGGTGACAAATGGAAGTGTCTCCAGATATGACCAGATGTCCCCTGCGGGCAAAATTGTCATGGCTGAGAACTGCACACATCAGGCACTCGGCCTTTTGTGGGCTGTTCCCTCTCTACAGAAACGCTGTTCCCGCAGAGAACCCAGTGACTCACACTCACATCCCCTTCAAGTCGGCTCAAAAGTCACCGCTACCCAGCCCCACCTTGACCTCCCTGTTTCAATTCAGTTCCTCCCAACCTCGAGTCCAGATCCTCCTGCCCTCTTCCCCCCACAGCAGACTACTCGACCCCTTCCAATACACTGTCTGACTTTTGTCATGGTGCCTATTTGTTGTCTGTCTTCTCTGAGCGAATGTCACCGCCAGGAGGCAGGGACCTCTGCTTGGCTTGTTCACCAATGAATCCTGGGAGCTTACAGTAGGATCTGGTCCCTGGAGGCCTGCAATTTTTTTCTCTTTTTGAACGACTTAGGTCACTTTACGAGGGTAGAGAGTCCTTCATTCTCAAGGGAACACTTGGGCTTCAGCCACACCATGATGAATTGAAAGGCTCCAGAATACACAGTCTCCATCCCATGGGCAGCCCCAGTGCCCGCAAGTACACACACATCTCCCACCTGAGAGCAAATAACTGTTTCAGAGCTGCCTCCCTTGCCAGCTTCCCCCGCACCTTTACAGTGTCAGCTCTCAAAGCCCACCTCATTCCGAGGATTCTGAAAGGCTCTGGCTCCCTGGGAGCAATGTTTTCCCAAGCAATACTGGGAGAGTGGGAGGGTATATGGATTCGAAATTTCCCCTGAACCATTTCCTACCTGAGTCCCTTAGGAATCTTCTTTCCTTCCTTCCTTCCCACCTTTCTCTGTTCCTTCCTTCTGCCCTCCCTTTCTCCCTTCCTTTCCTTCTCTTTTCTTAAAATTAAAAAAAAAATTATTTCTTGGCTGTGTGGTGGGGTTATTGGATCTTAGTTCCCAGACCAGGGATTGAACCAAGGCCATGGCTGTGAAAGCACCAGGTCCTAATCACTGGATCACCAGGGAATTGCCTAAAAATTTTTAAAAATCGCCTTATGTGAAAGACATGAACTACTTATTTTGACAAATGAGTTGCTTGTGCTATTTGTGACTTTTTTCCAACAATAAGTTATAAAAGAGGAAATTAGATGTGCTTGGTTTCAAAAACCTGAACAGAAGTCTGAACTTCTAACTGATAAATTAGTGATTAGTCAAAATACAAAAAACAAAACAAAACAAAAAAGCCTTCAAATATCTGAAAGACTCTTTGTTTTACAAAAGGATTTACATGATGGGGTCCCTGGTTCTTTTTTTTTTTTCCCATTTATTTTTATTAGTTGGAGGCTAATTACTTTACATCATTGCAGTGGTTTTTGTCATACATTGAAATGAATTAGCCATGGATTTACATGTAGTCCCCATCCCGGTCCCCCCTCCCACCTCCCTCTCCACCCGATCCCTCTGGGTCTTCCCAGTGCACCAGGTCCGAGCACTTGTCTCATGCATCCAACCTGGGCTGATGATCTGTTTCACCCTAGATAATATACATGTTTCGATGCTGTTCTCTTGAAACATCCCACCCTCGCCTTCTCCCAGAGTCCACAAGTCTGTTCTATACATCTGAGTCTCTTTTTCTGTTTTGCATATAGGGTTATCGTTACCTGGTTCTTTTTAAGAACTCTTGAATAGATCATTAAGTTAAGAACCTGGGAACATGGAAGTTCAAACTGATTAAGAATCAACTAAACTGATTAAGAGTCAACTAAAGATTAATCAGAAATGATGTTAGTTGCTCAGTCATGTACAACTCTTTGCGACCCCATGGACTGTAGCTTGCCTCTGTCCATGGGATTCTCTGCCAGGCTCTTCCAGGCAAGAATACTGGAGTGGATTACCATTTCCTCCTCCATGGAATCTTCCCAACCCAGGGATTGAACTCAGGTCTCCTGCATTGTAGGCAAACTCTTTACCATCTGAGCCAGGAGGGAAGAAGCCCGGATAAATTAGTGATTAGTCAAAATACAAAAAAAAAAAAAAGGCCTCAAATTTCTAAAAGACTCTCTGTTTTACAAAAGGATTCACATGATGGAGTCCCCAGTTCTCTTTAAGAACTCTTGAATAGATCATTAAGTTAAGAACCTGGGAACATGGAAGTTAAAACTGATTAAGAATCAACTAAAGATTAATCAGAAATGAGGATGAAATATTACTGAGAGTTTAACATAAATGGGAAATCATTCGAGTTCAAAAGTTCAGCTTACACTAGTTTAGACTCATTAATTTATATATCATGATAAATTACATTCTTTTTACTAGAGTTATAATGATTTGAATCAGCATTTATAATGTTTTTATTAATTGCCCAACACTTTCAAATTTCCAGAAAAACACTGTCCCTCCTTTTTATGACATTTGACTGTATGCCTTTGTCCACTGGCTTTGCTTGCCAGATAAAATATAGAATACCAAGTTAAATTTGAATTTCAGATAACTAACAAATGATTTTTTAGTATAAGCAATCCTCAGTAATAATTGGGACATACTTATCTTTTACTGTGAGAATGTATAGTTCCTTTATTTTAATTTCTACTTGGCCTTCTGGGATGATGTGTGTAGCAGTATGGATGCACTGATCACTTATTCTTTAGGGTGAGGTGGTGAATGGATCATTAAACTTGAATTAAAAGCTTTTCTGACGCTGGGGAAGCAGTCAATCCATGTTCCCTGTGTTAAAC